TATTCAAACTTGTTCTTATTCATTTGACTTTTTAAACAGTAAAAAATTACTTATTTTTTAACTTAATCAAAATCATCAACAGCTTTTCTTAAAACTATGAAAATATCAGAGGAAGACATATATATCTGCATATATCTGCATTTTTAAGTCACTCTATTGTACTGGCATGATACAATAAAGTTTTTATTTCACAGTTTAATTGATACAGTGTTTGAAATACTGTTTGTGTAAATTGAGTTTAATGATTGTTGTTCAGTGATGGATTCTCATAATGTTTTTGTAAATTAAAGTAGAGAGAGGAGCACTTTTATGAATTATACATCAGTACAGTAAGTTAGTAAGTAAACACAAATATACATACGTTAACTTTAAGTGAGTTTTAATCAGTATTACAGCTTTTAAAGATTAAATTAATCAACACAGTTTACATAATATGAAAACACAACTCTGGAAGTTTTAGAAGTGTAGTGTCCTAACATGACCACTAGAGGGTGCTACCGCTCAGATGAGGGTTCAGCTTTGACAGAAACTGAACAACAAGCCAGTTTTTTATCGCCTTGGGAAATGTGGATATTCAGGAGCTTTGTAGCCCCACCCAATGATTAAAGAGTTTATTTCAAGTTCAGACTATTTACAAGTAGTTGTGCTGCTGGTTTTTATTAACTTCGAAGTTCCCAGAGTACGTGACTCTGCTGCCCATGTGAAGCAGGAAATGCTCCTTTTCTCTCACACAGTCGGCAAATAAATAATCTAAACAATCAGTTAGAATAAAGCAAACTTTAAATGTCACGAAAATGTAAGAAGAAGCGCAGTTTTACTGCATTTCAGCAGCATCTTCATTTAAAAGTGGAAACATGCTTTCAGATGCATTCAGTCCCAAACCAGTTTAACCAGCTTTAAACCAACACATGCTTTAAAAACACATGAAATAGTTTCGGCAAGCCCTCACTTCTCCTCCCATGTTGCGTCCGCTCTCCAAAACTGCAGCACATTTTCCTCACTTGAGGTTAATGAGGCCACGGAGACCCTTTGCTCTACATTGACCTCCTGCCTGGATAGTCTATGTCCTCTATCCACTAAACCTGCTCGAGCCTCTGGGTCCCACCCATGGCTTAATGATACACTTAGAGCACTACGCACCAGCCTCAGGGCTGCAGAACGAAAAGGGCACAAATCAAAAAATCCAGAAGATCTAACAAAATTTCAGGCACTGCTTTCTGCATTCTCTTTAAGCATCACTGATGCAAAAAAGGCTTTCTATACTGATAAGATTCACAGTACAACCCACACTCGAAAATTATTCTCCATCTTCAAAACTCTGCTTAACCCTCCTCCTCCGCCACCTGCTACTAGCTCAACGGCAGACACGTTCGCCTAATTTTTTACTGACAAAGTGGCAGCTATAACCAAACAGTTTACTGAACGGCCTGCACCTGAAATTTCTCGCAGTACATATACAAGCAGAAGTCCTACTGCTTAGTTCTCCTCCTTCGCTCCTCTCACTGAGAGCAATGTGTCCAAACTTCTCACATGTAGCCGTCCTACTACATGCTTGCTGGACCCAGTTCCTACAAACTTACTCCAGTCCATAGCTCCTACAGTTACTGCAGCACATCTTTCGGACGTCATCGGGCCGTTTCACATTCATTTCCTATGGGGCGGCTTTCTAACCGCTTTTTTGGCGTTTATTCGAAAACGCCTGATCCTTTGAGGAAGTTTTGAACAAGCACGCATGGCACAGTGGGTCCGGACGCGCGTGCCGATTTTGGGCCCGATCCGTCGAACCGTGCGGGAGGAGAAGCGGTCCGCGGAAACGGGAGAACTACAAGCCACGGAATAAGTATTTTGGATAGTAATAGGTGGGCCTGCCGCTGGCAGTGGCCCCCCTAATAAGTATTTTGGATAGTTATAGGGGGCCCTACCGCTAGCAGTGGCCCCCCTAATTATATTTTTTCAAATTATCCCATTCCTTGACTTTATATTTTAGGATCTTACATTTATTTTATTCATTTCTGACACATTATTTATTTATATAATCAATATTAATTTGACTGTTCTTAATAAATTGTTCATATGCTTTCCTTTAATTCATAGATGCATTTATTTCTCATTAACCAATTGTAGCAGTCTTGCCACCGTGGGTGCCTGACAGAGTCTCTTGAGACCAGGATTGGTTGCTGCAAATGTTTATTTGAGTGTGTGTGCCACGCACACACACTCTCTCACACACGCACACACTCACGCCCGCCCGGCTAGGGCTCTTTTTGGTTCCCCGCGTGTTGCCCGTTGTGGTCCTGGCTGGTCGCTTGTTTCCTGCTCCAGCTCTCCTTCAAAACCAGTCCTCCCCAGGTCCAGCATGCTACTCTTTTTACAGAGGGGAGAGTGATTAGCCAACCGGTTCCAGGTGTGCTCAATCACTCTCCCCTGGCACTGCTCACCTGAGCCTCTTCCACCCCTCCCCCCTGCAGCTGAGCGCCACGCCCCCTCCACACCAACCAATCACCCTTTTTGTTTCCATGTCTTCTTGTCATATTTATTTATATTATTTTCTCTTTTTCTCACACTTAACTGCCCCAATATGCAAACAAGACGTGCTGTCCTTCAATCTCTCCAAAGGAGTTAGCTTCTCTCCTATTGGTCAATCAAAAGAAGGTTCAGGATCTGTGTACGTCTGCCTGCAGAATTCCTGAAAAATCATCGTAAGAGACACCTGCAAGCCCCAAGGTGTTCAGCAGGAACAACCAATTCAAAGATGGCATTTGAATGTTTTCACAGAAATCTTTATTGATCTACTGAAGCAAAGTGCAAGAATCACGGTAAATTGTACAAAAACTCTGTGCTGAGTTAGAAACATTTTGAGCCGAGAAGCAGCAAAAACAGAGAATTAAAGCTACAGAACAGTCATAGTTGCAAGTAATGATATCATTATTTAATTATAGTGCTAAAGAGGCAGAATTAATATCAAAATTATATTATTTATATCAAACTGTGAATTTTATCGCAATCACGTTTTCTTGATAGCATTGTTCTTATTTGATAATCAATTTAAAAATGGCCACTTAGTGAAGCTAGTTATCAGTTTCATTTTAAGATACATTTTGTAAAAATCTGGGAAACAGATTAGTTGAATCATTTACAGCCATCTCATGAAAGCCACATTCTGATTGTCAGCACCAGGATAAAAGGGCGTCTCCAGGACGGCCTCCTTCTTCCCTGCAGCCTGCAGGCCTTCATCCAGACAGTCGTGGATCTTCTTCCACGAGTCGATCGGCCACGCTCAGGGTAGAGGCCCCTGAGTTGGGCCACCTGTATTATCACCACCTGCTTTTCAGACCATCCTGACACTCCCTGAACACCACCCAGAAAAAAGAGCTTTTGTTTTCTCTGGAGGGAAAATGGTCAAGTGTCTGGCTGCCAACAGGATGTTCTCCGGGTGAAGTGAAACTCACCCAACAACCGGCCAGTTATCTGCTAATACAGCTCTGATAACACAGAGAGTCACCTTTAACCCGCAGTTGTGTCCTTAACCCACTCAGCTCCGGGTTAAAGGTGCTGAGATAGAAGAACCACAGGTCCAAGGAAATCCAACTCTGCACGCTCTGTATCAATAACTTTTCTTATTTTTACATATTCAGAATCCACGCTTCTTTTCTAAGAGTTCTCCAAAAGTTTAGTTTTGAATTACTTTATAAAGCAAGTTTCTGTCACGTCTAGGGGAATGTCTGGTGTGTTGTCATGTCTTGATTATCTGTTGTGTACACCTGGGGTTCCCCTCCCTCATGTGTTTAAATAGTCCTCATCTCCCCTTGTCCCGTGCCCGTGTGTTTTCGACATTTTCGTCTTTTTCGTCATTTTTCGTCATTTTGCTGTCTTTGTCTTTTCGTTCTTCGTCTTGCCCACAACACTGTGCACTTTGTCACAGCCTTGTTTTGCCATAGTCTTGTTTACTTGTTTTGATACTTTGTTCACTGTCATGTTAATCTTGCTTTGCTACTTTGCTCATAGTTTTGTCTCCCTTGTTTTGACCCTTGTCTGGTCAGCCACTCCTTTTGAGTGCGTTTTTTGTTCATTAAACCTTTTTGTCACCACATCTCCGCATCTGAGTCCTCCCTTGAGATCCGCAGCCTGACAGTGTCTGAAGACCGAATCTTGGTATAAAAAGCCATTTAACAAGTGGAACCTCCACAAACAGAATAAGCCACTCTATGATCTGAAATAAATACAGAATTATAGAAATGGATGAATAAAAAAGTTTGATTCATGCCCGATTGTTTTCATTTAAGACTTTTTTAATGAAAACATTTGTTAATTCACAACAATGAATAATATAAACACTACAAATTCATTCATCCTGACTGAAAGCTTTATTTGGAGCAGATTAATAGTTCTTTAACACCTTTAGGAGAATAATACAAAAATATATATAAAATCAACAAATAAATCGAATAAGAAAATAAAATTATCTTAATTTAAAAGACACAATATGTCAAGGAAAAACAAAAAAAAAGGGATATAAACTTAAATGAAAGCAGAATCAAATCTTAGCAATAGTCGTCTATGTTATTATTATTGAATAGAGATTATATAAGTACAATTTATCATCAAAGCAATTCATTTGTTTCATTTTCATTTTAAAATGAACACGTCCACATATTTTTTCTTTATGGCAGATTGTTAAATGTCAAAACAGCCATAAAGATAATGCAGATGGTTTCATTCTTGTTCCTCATTCTCAGATTAGATCCTAATTTGTGGGATCAGATCGACACCAGTTTGACTGATTAGCTGCTGGAATAAGGCACAAAGACACTCTGTAAGCAATAACAAGTTTGCTTTAAAAGTCAGTTTATCAGCTGTAGTTACAGATTAAATATAAATCCTTATCGTTTATTCTAACACATGTGGACTATGAAGCATCAGTGTGCGTGCAGCTCGGATTGTTTATCTGACGCGAAATGAGCTATGTGGACGTGTTCCATCAAAATGAAAATGAAACAAATGAATTGCTTGGATGATAAATTGTACTTATATAATCTCTATTTAATAATAATAACATAGATGACTATTTCTAAGATTTAATTCTGCTTTCATTTAAGTTTATATCCCTTTTTTTAGTTTTTCCTTGACATATTGTGTCTTTTAAATCAATATAATTTTATTTTCTTATTCGATTTATTTTGTCGATTTGTATTTTTGTATTATTCTCCTAAAGGTGTTAAAGAACTATTAATCTGCTCCCAATAATGCTTTCAGTCAGGACGAATGAATTTGTAGTGTTTATATTATTTATTGTTGTGAATTAACAAATGTTTTCATTAAAAAAGTCTTAAATGAAAACAATCGGGCATGAATCAAACTTTTTTATTCATCCATTTCTATAATTCTGTATTTATTTCAGATAATAGAGTGGCTGATCTGTTTGTAGAGGTTCCACTGGTTAAATGGCTTTTTATACCAAGATTCGGTCTTCAGACACTGTCAGGCTGCGGATATCAAGGCAGGACTATGATGCGGAGATGTGGTGACAAAAAGGTTTAATGAACAAAAAACGCACTCAAAAGGAGTGGTTGACCAGACAAGGGTCAAAACAAGGGAGACAAAACTAGGAGCAAAGTAGCAAAGCAAGATTAACGTGACAGTGAACAAAATATCAAAACAAGTAAACAAAACTATGGCAAAATATCAAAATAAAGTAAACAAGACTATGGCAAAACAAGGCTTTGACAAAGTGCACAGTGTTGTGGGTATGTGATATATACAGTGATTTGGGTGAGGCTGCAATACATGAGAGTTTAGTTTTTGATTATCTTTTGTGCTATCTCTTTTCGTTATTGAAATTTGTTGATGGTCCCTGGGCACTCGTCTCAACGCCAGGTGTCCATAGAGATCAATATTGTTGAAACAGCGCAGAGGACGGCTTATTTTGATAAAAATTAGGTTGTAGTTCGTTGTGTGCGTCACTATGGTTGTAAAGAGGCATCGTCGTCTGTGTTTTAATGTCCCGATTACGAGTTACTGACACGGAAAGCGCAAATCTGTGAATATGTTGCCAACTTTACTGCAGTACTGTTGTTAGAGAAAGGACCGCCCACCAAAGAGTTTTAGCAACAAGTGCTTCTCAGAGAGGGAGTGACCGCCCTTTCACAGCCTTGATTGCTCTGATTGTTTTGCGATTGGCCCACCGAGACTACTAGACAACTGGTTTTACCCACGGATGGGTTCTGGTCACTTTCACAATAGCAAACAAGATTTTAGAGAAAGAAGCTAGAAAAACTTACACTTGCAGACACACACGCTTGTTCTGTTTGTGCCGTTCCCTTAGTTGTGGTTAATTGGCTGATTTATATATTAATTTTTTCTTTCAGTCACTTTCAGTCCTCCATACACAGAATCATGAAGAGAGACATGTTGAGGTAAGTCGAGTCCAGATCTGGTCCAGATCTGTCAAACGTTTTTGGGTTTATTTTGACAGAACACAACCTAACATAGACACTGTATTTTTTATATTCTTTTTTGACAGAAAGAAACTAAAAGAGGACTTGTGCCGCTACGTTTCTTACACCACAATGTACATCGACATGGTGAGAAGTTTTGTGGAGATTCTCCCTGAATGGACACAGGCAAGAGAGAAAGAAATTAATCAAATGTTCGACATAAAAGACCGATTAGACAAGCTTTCCTTTAAGCTCAGTAACATCACTGAGTCTAAGGCTAAAGGTAAAGCTTTGAAGGATTCAGTGATCAATTTTATGGAAAAAGACAGAGCTGGAGGGAGAACTGGCCGCTGTGTTGAGGGACACTCCGGCTGGTCTGGAGCAGCTGGACGGCTTCCTGGATGCAGTGGAGAAGCTGGCTGTGACCTCAAAGCACGTGTTCACCAGGAACCAGATACTAGACCTGTCCAATGACACCCACCTGGACACTATCCAGGCTATCATCACTGCTGCACGGCACGCCAGCCCTCTTCTTCTGGAGTTTAAAAGAGACGCAAAAGCCTTTTTCCAGCCCAAACTTCCGAATTTGGAGGTGCTGTCTTATCAGCTGGATAGATATGTAAAGACCACCAATATGATATGTGAGAAGCTGCCACGAAGATGAGCTGATGGTTGATAAAGATACGCCGCGTGTTGAGTAAAATGTCCAGAACGACAGCTTTCTTTCTGTCCTTGGAAAGGTTCATCAGTGACTTCGACAGAGAGATCAGCCCAGACACTGCGGTGAACCTCAGTCCTCTGCTGTCTGAGGAGGACGTTTTGAGGATGAACGAACACATTAACCAGCTCGATCAAATCAGGTAATTCCATGTTTGTTGTGTTTTTTCATTCACGGTTCTCTCTAGGGTCTTTGAGGATCAGGGTTGGGAATAAAGAGAATGGTGCCGAGGCAGGTAGAGCCGAGTGGGTACTGATGGAGAACCCCCACAGCCACCTCTGGGGCTGCTTCTGCCTTCTTCAATAGTCTTATCTAAGCCTGGTTTAACCCTAAAAATAAGACCAGAGCTAATTTCTTCTGAATTGAATATCACAACTTTATTATTTTCTCAACAAATACAAATTATTTCCAAACTGAAGAGCTGTGAGTTCCATAGTCTTTAGTGAAATTAGACTTTTCTCTCTTTCTTCAGGATGGACCCAGACTTCCGGATGGTGTTCTTGTTTCAGAGAGTTCCTCCCTCCCATTTCCTGGATTTGCTCAGCACCCATGAGCCCGAGATGCTGCGGTTCCTCAGTGACCTGGAGGAGGTCGCCGTGCAGCTCGACAAAATGAACAAAGGGGCTAAGATCTCCTCTGTGGTCGGCAGCTCGGCGGCAGCCATTGGAGGCCTCCTGACCATTGGTTTGGCATTAACCCCTGTAACAGCGGGGGCGTCTGTAGCTCTGTCAGTAATTGGGTTGGTGCTGGAGGGGGGCATTGGAGCCACCAACGCTATCACCAACCTCACAGGGATCTGGGTTAATTATCAGAACCTAGATAAAGCTCAGAAAGCCTTCAAAAGCTTTGTGACATGTATGCAAGAGATCCAGAGCTGCCTAAAGGAGGCGAGCAGCCAAACCGGGACGGAAGTGCAAACAAGTACAAACGATGTGCTCATGGAACTCGACGGGGCTGATCTCAGCATGGGCGGCGTTAGAAAAAACGTAGAATCACTTATTGACAACGTCAAGGAAGTTGAAGCTGGTTTGAGTTTGGCCTCAGACCTCCCAGACGTGAGTCAGGCTGTAGTCGAAGGAACTCTCACTCTGTTCAGCGAGGCTTTCTCCTTAGGTTTCGATGTCTTCTCTGTCTGTAAGAATGGCAAAGATCTGGCCAAGGGCACCGAGACCATCATCTCAAAGTTCATCAGAGCCAGAGCCGCACTCTGGCGTTCTGAGATGGATTCATGGAGGAAAATGCAGGATTCTCTGAGCAACGGTCTGCCAACTGCACAAGAGAAGAAGGAGATCTTAGAGGCTTCGTTTTATATCGTCCCCCAACCTCAATCCATCCTTTCGATTTCTCGATCCCCCTCATTCCAACGAGAGAGAAAAAGGCAGCGAGCCCCCCCGACAGGCCCGTCCCCCCCAGCATCAGACGGCCTCTTCAGCTCGTCTGCGGTCCTGTGTTTCTTTGTTGGTCTCGTTGTTTGGTGGTTCTTTCTGTGAGCTGGAAGCAGAACAAGAACCGGCTGATTGTGTGCAGACACCTGGAGGAGCTAGCTCGCTAGGTCCCTCCTCACAAACCAGCTTACATGTTCTTGGCAACCTTTGCCTGTTGAAAAGTAGCTGTAATCCAAAACGGATAACAGGGCATGTTTTCTTTGGGAGTACATGTTAATAGTGTGTGTAAAATCAGCAGCAGTGAGCAGAAATCACCTTTTTTTGTGCTTGTTTCTGGTCTCAAATCATTCAGTATGTAAAATTGTATTT